ATTGACTTCCACCTCGCCTGGTCTCTCTGGCTAAAGAAGTTCAGTATCTGTCTCACCACTTTGTGTGCTTCTTGAAAACACTATTATTTGTAACCATCCATTTACTTGATTCTTGCTCTTTTGTTTGTTTCTACACATCTATATATATAAAAGCCTAAGCAATTGGCTGACTGGCCGACCTGTAGCTATGATGCGCACTGACCACCAGGGGGCAGATGCTCAACACAGAAGCTGAAACCAAAGGCATGGAAACATGAACAGTGATGAATTTCAGACAGAAGGAAAAAGGGGGGAGGGCAGGAAGAGATTAACCAAAGATCTTATATGTATACTAGAGGCCTGGTGCATGGATTCGTGCACCGGTGGGGTCCCTCGGCCTGGCCTGTGGGGATCGGGCCACAACTGGCTCTCTGACATCCCCTGAGGGGTCCTGGATTGCGAGAGGGCGCAGGCCAGGCTGAGGGACCCCACCAGTGCATGAATTCGTGCACCGGGCCTCTAGTTAGATTATAAACTCCTTAAGAGCAGAGGCCTTGCTACGTTTTCTTTTTCTCTTTAATCGAGGCATCTCCAGAGTCTAGAGCACAGATGTCTTGTTTAATCAACAGAAGAAATCACCCTGATGAGTATTTCTAATGATAGCTTTCACTGTTATGTACAAGTAAATGTCAATATCGGTTATCAAAAGGCTGTGGAGACTTCCCCTCTTAAGAGTGTCTAATGCTGAGTTGTTCTGTATGGTAGCCACCAGTGACATACACCTTCTACATCACAGGACATTTCCACCACCACAGGAAGTTCCATTAGACAGTGACACTCTAGACATTGGGTTCCGTTGGATCAACTCCCTTTATAGAAGAACTGGCATGATGAACTGACTCCTCAGTTGCTTCCTAGTTCTAACAAGAACTAGCTATAACCTTGAGGCCTTGCATGGTTATCCTCCAATACCAAGCTACCTTATTTACAATCCCTATCAGCTTAGTTTACTAAGCATGAAAAATGTGACTGACGGTGGGGAGCGAGCCTCTCACTGAGAAATATGAAAATCAGGAGGAACTCCTGCCACTCTATTCAAAGGGTTTCTTTTCACTTCAGCTACAAAAGCCCTGTGGAAAATGCTAGTCTTTTATTACCAGACTATTGTTTAATATTTATCCAGCATCAAAAACTATGCCGAGAGCATGAGCTGGAGCTCATGCTGGTCTCTGCCTTTTGGGACTCACCATTTAATTAGACGGATGGGGAAAAATATCCAAGTGTGGTTCCCAGTCACATTTGTGAATAATAAGCTGGATTGCTGCTTCTGGGAGAATGTCACGCTGACGGGAGGATGCAGCGTGTGGTGCCTCCTATTGTGTGGGCAATGAGTCCCCGCCACCTCTGCTCCGAGCTGCTACCAGGACTCCAATGCAGCTTGTAATACAACTGCCGCTGGCTTGCACTCAATTTAGGCTCTGAACTCTTGCTGAGACCTTCCTGTCATGGGACTGTAGCACTCCCGATCCCGTTTTGCTTTCTTCTTGGTGGTCTTAATGCCTCCCCTGCCCACCCTGTGAGGACTGGTGCGATCCAGCTTTATTTTGCTCATTCCCCCTTGAGCTGGGGCATCTGTCTCAGTGCATATACAGACACATGGTTAAATACCAGCTGGCCAACCCTGAGGAACACTGGTCCATCTTTGCCACGGGCTGAAGTGGTGCTGCTGTAACCAGCAGGAACCGAGTCCATGGCTTAGCCTGTCAGGCCCTGTGCCCGGTTATATCAGCCTTCTGGGAGGCTTCAAAACTTCTGTCCCTGCCTTTTCTCCAAGAAGACCTTGAATCTCAAAGTCATCCTCTTCCCACCACCCCCATTTTAACAGCTTTATTGAGATATGATGTACATACCATAGCAATCATCCATTTTCAGTGCAAAATTCAATAATCTTTTATTATATTCACAAAGCTATGCAACCATCACCACAATCTGATTTTAGAGGGTTTCTACTCCAGAAAGAAATCTCAGCAGTGCCATTAGCAGGCACTCCTCGTTCCCCTCCCCTGCCTTAGGAAACCACTAATCTACTACTTTCTGTCTCTACGGATTTGCCCATTCGACATTCTATTCAAATAGAATCATACAATGCATGTTCTTCTGTGCCTGGCTTCTTTCATTTAGCATGATGCTTCTGAGATTTACCCATGTTGTAGCATGTCTGAGCACTGTGCTCCTTTTTGTCAGGAGGTGCTATTCCATTATGTGCATTCATTCATCCTCACACTGTTATATAAAAATCTAAATTACATCAAGGCCTTCATTAAGAACCTTATTGCTTTTTTATCTATTTGAATAAAGCTCATAACATGATTTCCTTTCTAATATTTTCCACAAGTTTCCACATCCTAGAAGATAAGGCCTCCCCTTGATATGTGCGCATAGTTGTACATCTTTCAGAATCACTTAAAAGCAAATGCGCCCATAAGTCTCCAGTGGTTGCACTGGATAGAAATCATTTTCTTGGGAAATACTGTCAGGCCAGTTGCTACCAGGAATGATCACTGGTGATACAACTAAATACAGCTGACCCTTGAACAACAGGTTTGAATGGCACAGATTCACTTAGATGCAGCTTTTTTTCAGTGGATATATAAGTGCGATAACACTTTTTCTTTGGAACACAGTATATAACACATACAACATACAAAGTATGTGTTAACTGAATGTTAATGTTGTCAGTAAGGCTGTCAGTTAATTATGTTTTGGGGGATTCAAAAGTTATATAGAGATTTTTGACTGTATGGGTGGTTGGCGCCATAACTCCATGGTTTTCAAGGGCTGACAGGACTGTCAAGCTCAATAAATGACTCATTGGAGCTGAGGGCAATGGCAAAATCGGCAACAACACTTTAGATTTATAGTGAGGGCATAAAATATGGCACCTTCCCTGTAAGCAGCCATTTACATATTTACCATGGGATGGGGTATTTATATTTAACTAGAGGCCTGGTGCACAAAATTTATGCATGGGGTGAGGGGGGGGGGCAGAGGATCCTCAGCACAACCTGCACCCTCTCCAATTCTGGAGCCCTCAGGGATGTCCTACTGATGGCTTGGGTCCGCTCCCTGTGGTTCTCTGCTCTCTGCAGGGCCTGCCTGCTCCACACCATGGCAATCAGCAAGCAGGCCCTGCTGGGTGCTGCCTGTGGGCTGCACTTGCCTGCTCGCGGGTCGCCGCAGAAATGCCTGCTGGGCTCATGTTGCCAGGGTGACGCTGCCAGCATCCTGCCCCAGCCACTATGGGCGCAGCCATCTTTGTCGTGGAGTGGTGGTTAATTTGCATATTACTCTTTTATTAGTTAGGATAGGCTGAGTGTTTCCCAAGCCTCTGCTTCTAGCACAAGCAGATGGAGGCTGCTTGGTTCCCTGTGTCAGCTCTTGTTCAAGTAGAGCCGGCGCTCATCACTCCAACCTCACGGGGATCATGCTCTGAAGCACCACATGGAATCCTTGGGTGTCTCCAGAGACTCTTTTCTACCTACATGGTGGCCGCTGACTCTCAGATGCCCTCCGCGTGGTGGTCTCTCTTCTCCTCTGTCCCGCCTCTGCCGCCCAAGCTATTGGAACCCTTTCTTTCCAATTCCCACTCCCCATTTCTCCTCAGCCTCACTGATTTTATTTTCCAATCTATATTTTCAGTTTGGCTTAAAAACATGTACCCACACTTACCTACACTCAGCTCTTCTTGGTGGCCCCCAAACCCCTACTTTCTTTTTCAATGTGATTGATTAATTGTAAATATTTGGGAGATTATGCCATTTTCTTCTAACAAATTGCTCTCAACCTGTGGGTCTTGACCCCTTTGGCAGTCGAATAACCCTTTCACAGGGGTCGCCTAAGACCATCCTGCATATCATATATTTACATTATGATTCATAACAGTAGCAACATTACAGTTATGAAGTAGCAATGAAAATAATGTTATGGTTGTGTCACAACATGAGGAACTGTATTTAAAGGGCCAGAAGGTTGAGAACCACTGCTCTAGAGTATTATTCACAGTGTGTACTTCAATAGCTGTGACATAATTTTCAATGCCATAAGACACAATCTATGTAACTATAAGTTCTTACCCTATTTCAGCTCACTCGTGGATTCTGACACAAATTTATTGTTGGTTTTTATTGTTATTAAGGTAAATTGAAGGATAGAATTAACTGAATGGAAGCTCTGCCAGATATTTTGCCAAGTGCTTGACACACATTTTCTCTTAACCTTACAAAGCTGACATTGCTACCCCCGCATTACAGACGTGGGAATCAAGGCTCAAAGGCTGAGCAACTTTGGTCAGTTCACAGAGCTGGCAAACAGTGGGACTGGGGTTTCCCCTCGTCCCAAAGCCATGATCTTCCCACAGCTGCCTCCCCATGTTCAGGTGGCTTGATGTTCAGTTATGTCACTTTAGAGTCCAACATCTTTCACTCACAGCCAAGAGAGTCACCTGGGTTCAGTCACATTGGCTACATGAAAGCCATTCAACTTACAAGGTACACCTCACTGTGGAGGAATGGTCATGGGATGGAAACTATAAGAGGCTCAAGAAGAGGGGTTTCAGATGTCAGGGTTCAGCTTCTACAGCCCCGTCCTCAGCTGCAGAGAGCCTTTCCTCCACCATCTACCGGCCGGACCTTCATTCCCTGCAACATCTTGAGCAGAAGCAGATAAACCCACTCTCCTCTTGGTTGCCCCTGGGGCTCTGAAAATCTACACGGGATCCTCAACATTTGTGATGAAGGAATTCTACGTCCTTTGCTGGGTGCTCTGTGAAGCCACTTGCATTCCCTGTAGGCTGTAAATAAACCAGCCCGGCAGACAGCCTGCTGCCCAGTGGTGTGGCAGGTCTGAGAGCTGCCGCCACTCTTATCATTTCCCAATTTTACTGTCTTTTGTCTTTTGCCCTAAAGATCCTTAGGATCAGGCCCTCTGGTGACTGTCACGTGATCTGGTGCAACCAGGCCTACCTGAGTCCTGAAGACACGCCTGATATGACATGATGTCCCCACTGGAATTTACTATTTATCAAGGGCGCTCAGCACACCTGGCGTTCGTTGCTGCGTCTGCCCTTGGCATTTGCAGTCTAAGCTCAGGAGCCCAGCTCCCAGCTGTTTGTGAGAAGTCACACGTCCAGCGCAGCCTCTGTACCCAGTGGCCTCACACTCTTGGGGTTTTCAAGCATCGTTTCTTCAAAGCTGCAGGCCGGTGTCGCGGGGGTGTCTTTTAAAAGTTTGTTGGCCAACTTCGTGACACGCCACTGCGGCGACCTTGTGCCTGTAACTGCTGAGGTGAACCCTGCTCTCATCACCGTCTGGGCTGCAGGCTGCCGCCTTGCTTTCCGCACTTTCCTGCTTTTAACAGCCTGTTTGAGATCCTGGAACAAGCTGTCAGCCTCCGAGGAGGGATGGTGCTAGAAACAGTGCGGGAGCTAAAAATAAACACCTGCAGACAGGGACAGGCACGCTGTATGGAGAGACTGCAGCCCCGCCAGCCCCCACCGCATCGCGGCCTCGTGGCTTCCCACTGGCACGGCGCAGCCTTGGTGGGGGCACTCTGCCTTGCATGGTGCCAGGAACCATTTCTAAATGGCCCATCGGGGGACAGTGGCCGGCAGCGGCCGTTGTTTGTAGAACGGGCACAGGCTGCCCAAATGGGCTCCTGCCAGTTAGTCACCACCAAGGACAGGACCTCTGATCTTAAGATAAGCACGAGGTGTGACTTAAAAAATCAGATGGACTTAAAATTTGTATTTCGTATGTTTTGCCTGTGCCAAACGAAGTGGCTTTAAATTCAGCAACGACATTTGTCTGCGGGTACTAATAGGGTGATTAGGTAAATAGGGTGGTCTTTATGTTTTACCAGGTCAAAGTTTACCAACACAGCAGCTGTCATGACAGCTCGCACAACAAACCCCCTCTGTTGCATAAAGCAGTTCATTCCTTATTGCCGTAAGGGCACTTAATCCCTGGGGCTCCCATCGCCGGGGCACACCTGTATCCTAGACGTCATATCTGTTAGTGCTTCTCGAAGGGTCTCACAGAGTCATTTTTACGGGGAAGAAATGGTATCTGAGCAGTTAAGTTAAGTGACCTGTCCCAGCCCCACAGCAGAGCGATGCAGCCTGTAACAAAACGACTAACCAGTTCTAGAAGGTGAGGTTTGTGCCAGGTGTGTGCCAGGTGTGTGCTAAGGCCCATACCTGTGTTATGACGCAGCAAGAAGCCCTTTTAGGCGTGGGCTTAACCACCCTGGGAATTGTCAGCTCCAACCTTCTCCTTGTTGGTCAGTGCAGGATGGGGACAGGGGTCAGGTGATCATCTGTCCACTCAGCACAGGGCCAGAGATCTGCTCAGGGTGGGGACTGGGTAAGGTCTCTGTAGCCACACACATTGGGCCACACACTGGGCCATTTTGGGACACGGGTCACGGTTCACAGAACTCTGACAGGGGAAACATGTTAAGAATCCAGAAGGGCTGATAAATAGATTCTACTGTGGTTACAAAAAGTTACTTCACAGCATAGATAGTCCTGAGCAATGAGGATCGATAAATAGATTCTGCTGTGGTTACAAAAAGTTACTTCACAGCATAGATAGTCCTGAGCGATGAGGATCGATAAATAGATTCTGCTGTGGTTACAAAAAGTTACTTCACAGCATAGATAGTCCTGAACAACGAGGATCTAACCAGGCGGGAAGGACTGCCACTAGCACCCACCCCAGGAAACACGGGCTGGCACGCTTCCTGTGCCTGGCTGCGGGCCTTCGCTGCAATTTCCCCGTGAAAACGGATGAACTCCGAGGCGCTTTCTATTCCGATTAAAAATTCCCTCTGTGGTGCTGTCAAGATTGTAAAATACCTAATACAGCAGTTAATTACAATGGCATGAACTACTTTGACCTTTGCAATTATCTGTGTTTTCAGAGGCTGACCCCTCCCAGCTCTCACTGAGAGGTTAGTAATGCTCAGAGCGGGTCGGGGATGGACCCGCCAGCCATGAGCCACGGGAAGACCTGGGAGGTCAGAACAGAGGGAGCTCCAGAGCAGGCACAGCACAGCCCACAGGAACCATTCCTGCTTTCAGGACCCGCTGCGGCCTGGAAATGCTTCTCCCGGCGTCAGCGCAGGCCTAAAGGGAAAATGGTTCTAGAACCTGAGAGGCACCTGCAGCATCAGAAAAACGGAGTTGCATTTCCGCTTCCCCATCACTGCATGTACCACCTCGTCCATGGAGGGTGGATAGGCAGCAGCGAGTAAAGCTACCACCAGGTGCTACGCTGAAGGACTCGCTGAACTCCAATGGCTTAGACCTCAGGCGTCTATGAAGCTGGCCGCGGCACACCCACTTTACAGAAGAGGAATGAGGCACAAAAGGTTTAAAAGGGCTTGTCTGTAGTCATGAAGCTACCAGGTTGTGAAGTGCTGACCTTCCACAGCGTATCTTCTTAACCAAAGCTTCAGGGAGGTAGGACTAGTTTGCTCACTACCTAAGGGTCCAACAGGAGTCTCTGAAATAAGCCTCTCCCTGTACCTGCACACCCGGAGAGATTCCTGCCTGCGGTAATAACCATGATAGCCCTCCTGTCCTTCCTTTTTCTCCCAGTAATACAAGGACAGAGCCTTAAAATAGCACCAGACCCTCTGCAAGTTGCCAGCAAAGGAGACAGGCTCCCTCTGGAGTGTAGGTTAAAGCCACCAGGGTGCTTCCCAAACAGGTCACTTGCTGCATTTGCTGAGATGCTAATAGCTATGGTCAGAGAGGGTACAGGGAGGGGGTCCGGGGTCCCTGAAAGGTTTAAGTAGAAAAATAACAAGTAAAGAGTCTGCATTAGAAAGATACCACACAGTCTGGTTAATGAATGGCAATGAGGATGACAGCGGCCACAGGAAAATTTATCCAGTGCTCACTGAATGCCAAGCACCTTCCTGCATGCTTTATACACATCACCTCATTTAATCCTCTCTAAAATGATTAGGCACTAATATTAGTACTCTTATCTTATAGACAAAGAAACTGACGTAATATGTAGGGAACCTACTTGCTAAAAGTCACCTACCTGCCCAAGTGGGGCTGAGAAGCGTGTGTGGGTGTGCTGGGAAGTCTGGCCGCTGGCTGGGGAGGGCAGGGAGGAGCAGCAGCCCTGGTGTACGGAGCTGGCCAGTGTCCCAGGCATAAAAATTCCCACTGTGACCAATTTCAGGCTCCAGAACAGCACTGTCAGGCCAAAGCTGTGCCCCCAAATGGAGGGGAAGGTAGAGGGCAGATATCACTGGGCCAGGAGTGTTCCTGTAACAGATTTTCTATTAAGTATGAACGGATAAATTCCCTTTATCCGGCTGATTTTATGTAAGGCTAGGCACTAACACCTTGCTGAGAGAGCCCCACCTGTAATTAAAAGGCCTTGAACCCCATCCCCTATTGCCTGTGGGCTACTTGAGAACACCCAGATCCTGTGAAACAATAGACCAAATGAATTCTGCCGAGGATGGCTACTTTCACAGTTTTGTGAATCACTAGCCTAAGGCTCTTTCTTCTATTCTATCCTGCTTCTAAAATCATCGGATACAAAAAGTGTGTCCGTTTCTATAGGCCTCAGATAAACGTCTCACTAAGTAATGTAACTGGACATTGTGAGGTGATGCTACTAACAGTTTTCCCCAAAGTGTCAGGTTACAGAAACATTTTTTTCAATATTAGTCGGGATGAAATACCCTTTAGCAATGACATTTTCTAACTCGGTCTGTATTTCACGTCACCTCCTCATGTTTTTCTTTAGGGCCATCTTTCCCTGCCATCTAAAAGGAACGGGAGAGCTATAGTCACAGGATGGCGCATTAGTGGCTATGACACTTGTTCATCCCTCTGATGTGCAGCTGAGAACCTGGCATAACCCTCGTGCCATTTCCTTTGAGTGTCAAGGAAGTCGGTTACTGAATGAACTGCACACCCTTAGTTACTCCTCGGCCACCGTACCTTGACCTATTTTCAGGAAGCATCTAGTTGACAACCAATTCAATTAACTGTAGGCCCTCATTCAATTAGAGCAGGGGAGCTCAGCCTTCTCATACTTGAGGATTATATTTTCTTAAACACCGACTTAAAAATAATTTATCAGAAATGGCTTTAAAAAACATTTAATCTGGGAAGATGCTAGGGTATAGAGGTGTATTCCCAGGCTCTGGTGTCTGCTGATCTGGGTTTGAGTCCTGCCTCCTTTATTTAAGATCCATGTAATCTAAGACCAGCTTCTTCATCTCACTGGGTCTCACCTCTTGATCGGTAAACTGGGGATTAACACCCAGATCACTGAGTCATTGTGAGGATTAAATGAGTGAGTATAGTTAAGAGCCTAATAGGGTGCCTCCTGCCATGTGTTACTACTATTTATTCAAGTATGTAGGTAAGACATATTTACTTTTTGCATATTAAGATAAACACTTGGTGGGCACAAGTGTTTGTAAACCTTAATGCCTTCAGGATCCTCCAGGATTTGGGGATTACTGATTCAGAGTAGGTAGCCACCATCACACCCTCCTCTTATCACACCCCTTCACACACACTTCTAGACATCCCTTGGCCTACCAAGGGACATTTATAGAGTTTCAAGTAGTATTTGGGTGGCTTGTTTTATAAGAGCATTTTAAAATGTAAGAGAAGCCCCCCGCCCCACATGACAAGAAAATATATATTTTAAAGGCCTCGCCTGAAATAAATCAGAAGATCAAAGGTGTTTCTTATTAGATGTGAGTATCTTCAGGTAGTGGTTGAAATGGAGAATTTGCATTTAAATGGAAAGATTAATGACTAATACAGAAAGCCCATATTTAATCACCATTTCCTTAACACAAATAATTTATATTTTTATACAGATCATTCACCAGAAGTCAGCAAGCGAAAATGATAGGTGTAGTATTTTAGAAAACAATTTCTGTGCCACCAATCACACATCTCAGTTATAAATACTTCTGAGGCTGCGGGTCTCACACTGTCACTTGCGCATGATCTAAATGTTGGTACAGTAATTTGGGTGTAAATATATTTGAGAACGTGTGACTCTCCCCTCCGAGAAATATCTTAAGCAGAAAGGAAAACATCATCCAGGGACGACCGACTCCTCCAGCAACAGTCTGCTCCTTCGCTTTCCCCTCACATCTGGTTGAGCATGGTTTGCACCCCCGCTCCAATTTTAGACAAGTGTTAAAAAAACAATCTTACCCCCTCTTCCGGAATAGCCAGTAGTGAAACCACAAACGGGATTTATTTTCCTTCAAACTAAAATGTGAAGGAATGTTCTGAAAAAAACATGGTCCTCCTCCTATCCCCAGAACCCCTTCGTTGGTATATTTCACATCTACGGTGCAATGCACTTGGTGCTCACCGCTGGCAGGTCAGGA